AGTGCAGGAGAAAGTGAAAGATGAAGATCTGATCCAGTTATGTGCATCAGGGATGGGGAGAAAGACAATATTTATCCAGGTGGAAGCTGATGAGAGAAAAGAAACACGTAGCACTTGCAGCTCATGTAACATACATGTATCCAGGGTTAGCATCTCATCCAGAGGCAGCGCTCTCTGTGTGGAGTAGATCAAAAACATCAGAGCAGGAGAAGCTAGAGAGCAATATGGACTGCCATCATACACTGATGGCAAGAAGATGGGAGTCAAAGAGAATTGAAAGAAAAACTTTTGATTTAGCAAGTCTGATTTAGCTCATCACTCCCACATGCACTCCACTATATCAAGTACCCAATTCACTTTGCATGCCTATAACTTGGTCGGTACAATCAGAGCACACCAGTGCTGCTAACATCTTTGCAAGAACACACTAGGCAGACTCAGTAGATAGAGGAACTCAGATGGGTAAAGGTTTCGCTTTTCAAATGAGCAGAGGTTTTTGACCCTTACAGGAAAAATGAGCCGATAATAAGACTTAAGAAAGTACCTGGCATTTCTAGGCTTCCCAGGAAAACCAGGGACTGAATGCCCATTTCTCTCCATGCAGGAGGAGTTCTTTCAGAGCCCTGGGTATCTAGGATGATTCACCGTCAATGAGTCCTTCCAGACTTCTCCCTTCCTTACATTTCATACTATCAGGTCAGAAGCAAGGAACTTTTGGTTATCACGATTTCTTCCTCTGAGGATATCCCTATGCTCTTTGTGGAGAGAGACACCACTTCTCTCTGCATTTCAATGGAATCCCTTCCATAGCCTCCGTTTAATGGCTCAGTTTCTGCTTGCAGAAGTCCCCACTGTTTTATGTGCCTTCCCATGAGCTTGAGCTGCCTGGGCTAGAAGATTAGGGGGCCCGTTAACAAGGAACAAATCTCTGGGTCTAACCATTAACCTGGTTGAATACTGTGTGTTCAGGGAGCTGGACCATAATTTTCATTCTGGCTCTGCCTCAGGCCTGCTGTGTGACTTTGGGCAGGTCATTTCTCCCATCTGGCTTTCTTAGCTTCCCCATCTGTAGAGAAGGGCAAGTCTCATTATCCCTCCTATATAAAACATCCTAAAACCTACAGAAGACAAACTATATTGAGAATCAGGCCCTATTATTATTAAAGCTCTGTTCTGCTAAATAGATAGTGGCAAGAGACACAAAAGCAAAATACATCCAAGGGCGAGGAAAGCAGACAGAGAGATAAAGCACAAACGCTGAAGAAAGAATGGAAAAAAATCCAGAGAAAACCAGAGCACAGCACTGGGTCACTACTCCTGTGATCTAAGCATATACAGAAATAAATCTGATTTAAGTAACACTAATTTGAAGTACTTTTACAAATCCAATTTTTCCTCCTCCCAGTATTTGTGTTTTATTGATGCCTCAGCTCTAGATTTTTCAAGTCCAAATTACTGCTCCTACCCAACTCTGCACAAGGGAAACACTTTTGCAATGGTTTGGCTTATAACTCTATTGACTGATTGCAGCTGCACAGCTCAAGTAGACAAGGAGATGCTTTATCACCTTTTGAGATCAGCCAGGATCATACTTTCTCCAGCTGGGAAAAGCAATCAGTAAGAAATGAAAAGAAACAAGATGATACAAGGAGCTTGGACGTACATCCAAGTTGTAGTGTAGTTAAGTGAACTTTATTGCTACTTATGTAACTGTATATTTAGTGCTTTAAAAATGAAGATCAACACAGAATTTTAGCATCATCAAGAGATAATTGAGGCTCCGGAGTCAACATGGTTACGTGCCTGTTACTCTACAATGCTACTGAGCAAGCAGCAACTGCGGTCCATCTGTCAACGTGTCCTTTGCTGTCACAGGATCCTTGTTACAGAGTCTACCACATTCTGCTCCTTTCCATTATGGATGAGACTGGAGCGTGCCTGTGATTTTGCTATACAGATAGCTACAGTGCCCCTCTAACCAGTTTTCATTACACCTCCTAGGCAAATAGCAGCTTGTATCTTGAGAATAGTACAAAACAAGACAAAAATTCAAATTCTGTCTTTGCAATTCCTAAGAAACCAGTCACCTCTGTTTTCCAGAGAGCAGCAGAAGCTGCAGTGCATGAATTGGCATTTGAATGTTTGGAGTGAGTGAGCTGTGAGACGGGCTGTGCCTGCAAAGAACGGATCATGGTATGAATGCCAGGGCATACGTTGTCTTTGCTCGATTTCTTTTCCCCTTGCTCTTTGAATTTTCAGTACCGTCTCCTCCTAAAGCACTGTGCACAGCCTTGTTCCTCAGTTAAAAGGATTTTCTTTACTATTTTTAAAGCCTGTTTGATGAGTAATATGAACTAACAGTGAATACCACACTATTTTTACTCCCCCTCATTAACATTGTAAATTAATTTAGGACTCATTTAGACACAAGATTAACAACCTGAAGACTAATCCACTCTTTATTTAGAGGACATATTCAGGATGAACAGCCTTTCGTCTCACATCACTCAGTTAGCAGGACTACCTCCTGGGAATGAGATGGTATTTCTGTCTCCGCTGCTTGGAAAGGAACAGTTTAAGGTTAAGGCAGAGGTCTGGGAGACCTGGTCCCAACTTTACCATGGGCTTCCTCTGCATCCTTAGTCAAGCTGCTTTTACACATCTACATCCATTTTCTCCAATATACATGCTTAGAGAGGTCATACATAGGGAACAGATATAAGATTAGAAGTAGTGTTTATGCTGGTTTAAGGTTTATGCAGGATTAAGGATACATGGGCCATGGGCCAGCTGCCAAATAGAAACTTGTTCAGCTGAAGACAGACAATTGTTTTCAGTTAGGTGTCCCTACAGTTACTTATGTGAAATGGTGGTTTATTTTGTGAGCAGTCTTTTCCTGGGACTGATGGCACTGTGATTACTGCATTATTATATATACTCCAGGGGCAAAGCCAAGCCCTACATTTTCAGATCAGCAGAAAATAAGAGAAATGTTGCTTTTCTTAAAGTCACTTTTGTTACGAAACTCATGACACACACTCTGCAGGAACCTTGCAAGATCTCAGTAAAGCTGTTTTCAGATGCCCTGTATGTTCACTAGAGAAGTAAGTATAACATTTCTTGCAATTAACAGATGAAACGCCCTATTGGAGCTTAGCTCTTACTTGCTGTCAAGTAAATCATCTCCAGAAGGTTTTCATCCACTGAAGGGAAAGAAGATTAAATATATGATTTGGCAAGTCTCATTTTCTACCAGAATATTTTGTTAAAGGCACTTGGTGTCTAATGACACACTGAGGATCTGTTCCTCTGAGCACAATAAATAAGTACAAATAACTGCTGTAGAAAAGAGCCTGACAGATACCCAGTGCCTCTCTGGGCATAACTGTTTGATGCTACTTCTCATCAGTAACACTTGTAAGGTCAGGCTTTCTGTTCTGGACACATTAGTCTAGCTCAACTTTGCCATTCCACAAGGACAGCTGTAGGTAAAGACTTCCTCAGTTGGGCAGGAGGCTGCAACTAGAAGGACATAATCCAAGATGTTACAAAGCATTGTTATACACCCACACCCACCAAAGAGGCCCTCTGACATCTTGGGAATTGCACACTTTGTAAGCAAACAACAATGGAAAAGCTGTTAGATTAGAACAGCCACTATTGCCACTGGAATGGCACCAGGGATATTTTTAAAGCCCTTGTACAGACTACTATTAATTGTTTGTATTGCAACATTACCAAGAAGCTCTAACCACAGATGAGGACCCTACTGTGCTAGGAGTTGCAGAACATTTAAAAAAAAAAAAAACTCCAGTGATTCACATCACTGTCTGAGATTGAAGGACAACTGAGAGAGCTCTGAAACTGTCATACCAGCCTCCCATGTGGCCACAAAGAGTGAACAATTCTATACGTTTTATTGTTGGCTATGGCTTCAGGGACAAGTTCCTGACTGGCATTTGGCATCTAACATGATAGCAAAAGAGACAATATGTTTAAAAAAAAAAAAAAAAAAAAGTCTTTCTGGTGCACTATTTCTAATCCTGTTTTCCAGAGATATAGTCATTCCAGTGTGGTTCCCTCAGAGAGAAGTACAAAAAGACAGGACAACCACAGCACCACGCTTCTACAACTCCAACTAATAATGCTGCAGGAAGTTTCCAAAGCAGATTGTTTCTCTCCTTAAAATACTGCATTTGCTCTCTGACTAGTCATTTCAACTCTCCATAAAGATCAAATGTGCTGTCATAACCACTTGAGACTGCTACTCAATGTCATCAAATCCAGTCCCTTGACAAAGGCACTCTCCTAAACCACCTCAGGATCAGAGGCCAAAAAAGCTGGGTTTGTCCTGGGGTTGTATAGCTCTGTCTGCAGACATCTGCAACATGAAAAAGAGAGGCATCAGAACTGCAATAATCTTTCTTCCTTAAATACAAAGGGAGAAACATCTGATGCTAATGACACCAAAATCACGGAGTTATCTTTGATCAATGAGTTAGCCTGAATGCAACAGTTGTCAGCCCTTTCTGCAGTTTTCACTCTGAGGTATTTGTCCTGATGCATTTTACATTTTCATGTCACACTGTACTCCCAAATTCAGCAGATTCTCTTTAGAGAACAGGAAGGGCATCAGGCGTTATACTTATTACCAACCTACAGGGAGTGAATAGAACAGAGAACCACAGGACCCTCCTGTTGACTTACCATTATCTTTCTGATCTAGGGGAGGCAGTCCTCTTTTATTTGAATATTGTTTCCATAAATAACATTATTCATTTGCTCTTTGTCCATTCTGCACTCAACTCATTCTAAGCCATGGTCTCGTGACCACCAGCAAAATAAAAAGTCCCCTCATCTTCACTCATCTTCCGAATAAGAATACATTTCTCAGCATATGTGTCCAAAGGAGGATGGCCCAACCTTAATTCAAGAAATCTGAAAGCGCCCTTCTTACAAGAGAAAGGTTACAAAACCAGCCAGAAAACAAATACTCTTACCTGTCTGTAACAAGCCAGCCCCACTGTCTTTGACTCCAAAGTGCTGTTGGATGTCTAGTAATACACCTGTGAGGAAAAGAGAGGGAAGAAATTCAGTACCATCAGCCTTTGAAGAGCATACAACTCACTCTCTTCAGGAAGCATCAGCAAAGCCTCAAATCCCAGTACTTTAGATCTGTAACTTCTAAAGTCTGCACACTGGTTTATCTTCTGTACAGGCAGACTTCTCAGTTTTGGGCTACTGTGCAAAGAGTTTGGGAATGAAATTCACATGCATGAGGACCTAGTCTTCCCTTCTTAAATAAGATGAGGGTTTCTACAAATCTGCAAAATCCAGAGCCCTGACATTTGTTATTGTACAGAAATATAGGGAAACTGACTCTGCACCTTAGGTACTTCAAATGGCTCAACAAGATGGACAAACTAAACTGAATCCAAGACTAGCTTTAACAAAACTGTTTTAAGGAAATACAATTTTCTGCATAGAACCACAAGGCACTTGTAATAACGATGGGAGTTTTCCTAACTAGGTCTGGGGGATTCTAATTTCCAAAATAAATGGAGAAAATAATTTTTAAATAGAAGCTTAATAAAAGTGGGGAAGTGAAAAAATATTCAAAATAACTTCAAAATAACTACAAGCAGAATCAAAACCAACCATCTCTCTTCCCTGGACCCTCAATATATTAACTGGCACAGGCAAAATTCACAGGTTTTATAAAATTCGCTTATTCAGCTGGTTTCAGCACTTGGGTATCAAAAATACAAATGTATTGTATTGTATGTAACGTACTGTACACACAAACAGTGTTACATATATCAACATTCAGGCATGCTTTTGTAAGCCACTAGCCAACAGCGAAAACCTGAAGAACTGAACTTTTGTAATTCACGAGGAACACCTATTTGCCAAGCTATAGAGGGTCCAGTTAGGTCAGATACAGATCCAAAGACATGAATGTTTGTCTATGGTCTAAACAAACTGTACTTCAGTTTCTTGGGTCTGGAAGAGAGATAGTTGTTCTCTTAATATCTGGGCCTACTGGCTTCTCCAGAACTGAGGAAATGCAGGTCTCCTTTGTTAAAAAAGAGAAAAGAAAGGAAAATGTCCTCCTCCAATTATACTGAGCACCCATAAAAGTTCAGCTCCAGTTCAAAATTTGACCCGAGGTGTCACCCAAACCATTCTGCTTATCACCGCAGGTCACAAGAATCAACTAAGCACAAACTTGATCTCACTCACCATAAATATCTTAGCTTTTGGGACTGCCAGGATCACACTGAATGACAAACACACAGAGATAAAAGACCTAGAGTCAACTATTCCCAGAAGTACATCTAGTACAATGCCAAGAAAACAGACATAAATTAAGGAAACTAAAGGAAAAAAGGAGACTGAGAGGAACTTGTCATATTCCATACAACTTACACACCATCTACTCAGGGCAGCATTCAGGATAGCTTTTAGACTCCCAATATCTGCCCATGAACATTAGTTTAGTCTCCAACCCCCTACAACAATTCCCCCCCTTCCATTCTCTGCCTATTAGGAAAGGCTGAGAGAGCTGGAATTGCTTAGAGCTGAGAAGGCTCAGGGAGGATCTTATCAATGGGTATAAATACCCGATAGGAGGGGAGTAAAGAATACAGAGCCAGACTCTCCTCAGTGGTGCCCAGTTAAAGGACAAGAGGCAATGAGCACAAATAGAAATACAGGAAATTCCATTTAAACATAAGAAAAAACTTTTTTACTGTAAGGGAGTCAAACACTGGAACAGGTTGCCCAAAGAGGTTGTAGATTCTCCATCCTTAGAGATATTAAAAACCCAACTAGACAAGGTCCTGAGCAACTTGCTCTTGATGACCCTGCTTTGAACAGGGGAGTTGGTCTATTTGATCTCCAGAGGTCCTTTCCAATCTCCACTATTCCTTGATTCTGTAATTTTCTGAAATATTAAGTACCTTATTACATCCACCCTGACACAGCTTTCTCCTTGACCTTCCTTTTCTTTTGAAGCATTGCTGCCTACCATAACTTCAACAGAAAATTTATAACTTGCTGTTCAATGGCAGACTGACCTCCATTTTCAAAGCGTCTTCCCTAGCCTTCGCTGGCTGTCCTTCCCTCATGCTTTGCTGCATGGCTCCCTCATTTGCTCCATTAATAACTGAAACATCATTACCTCGGCTATATCTGATGGACAAAATAAATTTTGCGTTTGCCTAGCAAAACCCACTGCAGTTTAGATGACTTGCACACTCTCCTTGGTGTCCCACTCTACTCCCCAAAAGGGGTTCTCTTACAACCCGAACCTAGAGAGCTTACTTAGCTTAATCAGCTCTGAATACCTTTAATTTGCGCTGCATTGTTGGTCAGTCCCAAGTTGCCCATATTAGGTGGAGTTCAGCAAATCAGAACAACGTGCGAGTACTACAATCCCAATTTTATAAAAAATAATCCCCTAAACATTCTCAAGAACATGAGATATTGGCAGAAAGGGAGGAAATAGACTGCCATATTTTCTTATGCTCTCCTATCACCACTCAGTTGTGCTACATAAGAATGAAATATCCTACCAACTCGCTGCAGCTGAGCCCCTGACCCTCTAGCTGAAAAAAATCAAGTCAGAGAGGGATCCAAGTTCTCATTGCTTCTACAGATCCATTCAATATAAGGCTTAACCTGAACCAGCACAACACTGGGTGGTCAAGGTGATGCATACCTACCTCCTGATCCAGCAAACTGTTCTATGGTGGATATTATGCTCTGTTCAGTCCGTCACCTTGCAGTTTCTTTTATTTTAATAACAAATGGCTGAGACATGCACCCACCATTCTTTCAAGATGCGGGAACAACTCCCACTGACAAGATGATAGATTTTTATTTTAATAATAAACTCCGTGAAACAGGCTATTAAGAAAAAGAAACTAGCAAAATTCTAAGCTAGGGACACTGCAATTGTACTTTTCCCAGCCAACACACTCTAGTTAGGACTGGAGCTGACGAAAAAAATTACCATGAAGATGCTGCTGACAGACTACCCCAATGTCTGTTCCACAGCAGAAACCTTCTCACTGAAGTGATCACCAAGCAGGATTCATACCTCCTAAACTGAGAAGCGTGCAAGGGCTAAGAACCAGCCATCAACATAATCTCACTTGTGCAAGGAGCAATATGGCACAACCTACTGTCTTGCCAGGATACCAAAGGGACTGATTCAGTGATGGGAAAAGGGAGATTAAGAGATTCTAGTCCTGCCTTATTAAAGCTATCTGATGTGGCAGATGCTTTGAGCAGGGGGGTGGGACTACATGATCTCCAGAGATCCCTTCCAATTGCAACTGATCTGCAGTCCAGATCACATGATGGAATATGCATGCACATGAACAGCTCCCTCCACCACCATGACAGCTGCTAGCCCTGCCCGTGGCAACACACTCCCAGCCATGCCAGAATGCCAAAGAGGCCCATTAAAACATCAAACTTCACTAAGAGGAAGAAACTAGGATGTGATAGAAAACATAGCCTTAGAAAGAAGATTTTTTTTTCAGATTTGCATCAGAAACCAGAACAGCAAGTGCAAGGGATTATAATGGTGCCTACACAGTAAAGAGAAGAGGTCTTTCTGTTCATTGCAAAGAAATTATCTATTTGGTGACAATGTCTTTACAGTTCTACAGTGCTTTTCTTTGCAAGAGATCATAATATATTTTACAAGATTGAAATGTCACAGCCATAAACTAAATATATTTAGGACACTGAAGTGCAGCCACCTTGGATTAAGCCTGCAATTTTATTGTGATGAGGGAGAAGGAAGTGGATTCTGTGGATAGTCTGTGCAATAGGACAATCTAGCACTGTATTTATGGGTCCTGTGTGAGCTTGGAGGAGGGTCTCAAGTGATTTGGAGAGATCTGTATGTCTAATTGACATGAATTTCCTACTCCACATAAGTTTGTTTCGTATTCTCTTTGGACTACAGGTGTTTTGATATGGGATTTAGAGCTTTAAATTAGAGGCAGTGGCAAGCAGATGATGCAACATGTGTATGGAGTGATAGGAGTTTCCCTGCTGCAGGAGTTTCCCTTCTCAGCATGCTCACATGGGAAGACACTCCTCCTCTCCTAACTTTGCTCAGCTCTGTTTATTTTCACCTGAACATGGCAGTGACTCACCCAGAGCTTTAATAAGATTTAGAGATACAATTAAGCAATGATAGACCAGGAGAGAATACATAAAATGATAGAACTTTGGACTTTCTCTTCTTTTCTAGATGACGGGAAAGCAGAGAGAGCCAGAACCAGGCTCCAGACAATAATTACATTGCTTGTGGAGACGTGCTCCCAGGTGTCTCACTGGAATAAAACATCTGATGCAACTGAAGAAAGGGAAGCCACCACATGAGGTTGACAAGGCCTTTCTAATGCAAAAATTCATACCTACGTCTCCAGAGGAGCCGCAAACAGCCATAAGCAGTGAACAGTTAGGAGCTACCCTTGCTGAGACAGCCTCTCAGCAAGGCTGATGGCCATTTGGGATGTCTTTATGACTACATGGAC